GTAGGATGACTTTCTTTTTTTTATCTTTTTTTTTCTCTCTATCTCTCCTTTTTGCCCTTTTCTCTTCTTTTTTTTTTTTTTTCATTTCTTTCTCTTTTTCACTTTTTGTCCCTCTTTTTTTTTTTTTTTTTTTTTTTTTTTTTTTTACTTGTGGAGTGTCACTGACTCTCAATTTTTGTCCGGAAATTACCCTCAACTTCTATTATGGTTCTCGGGAAAAGGACGTGCGATGGAGAAGATACATTTGATTGTTATTTATGTTCGTTTGATAATCCTTCTCTTCTTTTCCTGCTTCTTTTTTTTTTTCTTTTTCTTCTTCCTCCTTTTCGTATTCTTCTTCACCACCTCCTCCTTCTTCGTATTCTTCTTCTTTTTCACCTTGTTCGTCTTCTTCCTCTTTTTATTTCATATTCTTCTCCCCCTCCTTTTTCTTCTTCTCCTCCTCGTCCTTCTTCTTCTTCTTCTCTTTCCTCTTTCTTCTACTTTTCCTTTTTCTTCTTCTTCTCCTTCTTCGTTTTCTTCGTCTTCTTCCTCTTCTTTTATATCTCCCATATATTCTTTTTCTCTTTCTCCTTCTTTTTCTTCTTCTCTTTCTCCCTCTTCTTTTTCTTTTTCTTCTTCATATCCATCGCCTCCCAACTGGGTCGAAGGAAATTTTTGAAATGCATGAATGGCGTTCATTCGATTGTTATTTTATATTCTTTCGATAATGCTTCTCTTCCTCCTCCCCTTCTTCTTCTTCTTCTCTTTCTCTCTCTTCTTTATCATTATCATTTTCTTCTGCTTCTTCTTCGTCATCTTCTACTTCGTCTTCCTCCTCTTCTTCTTCATCTTATTTTACTTCTTTTTCTTCTTCTACTTCTTCTTTTTTCTTCTTCTTCTACTACTTCATCTTCTCCGTTTCTTTCTTCTTCTTTTTCTTCTGCTTCTGCTTCTGTTGCTTCTTCTTCTTCATCTTCTTCTTCATCTTCTCATTCTTCTTTATCATCATCCTTTTCTTCTACTTTTTTTCTTCTTCATCTTTTACTTCTTTTTCTTATTCTTATTCTACTTCTTGTTTTCTTTTTCTTCTTCTTCTTCTACATCTTCATCTTCTTCTGCTTCTTCTTCGTCATTTTCTTCTACTTCTTCTTCTACTACAACTACTTCTTCTTTTTTTCTTCTTCTTCTGCTTCTTCCTCGTCTTCTTCTTCTACCTCGTCTTATTATTATAATCATTATTGTTATTATTATTATTACTATTACTATTCCTCTTCTTCGTCTTCCATCTGGCTCGAGGGAAATTTTCAAAATATATGAATGGCGTCTAGAGGTTTCGTTCGCTCTTTCGTCCAACTTTACTAGTTTTCTTATTCTTTTCTCTTCAGTTCCCCCCCTTTCTCTTCTTTATGACTTGTATCCCTTTCTTTTCTTATAATTGTCTTTCTTCTGTGTCCTTCTTCCTCATATTCTTTCTATTCTTTATTATCCACATATTGCATTTGCCCTTATTCTTCCTTCTCCTCTTTCCTTTTGTCTTTCTTCACCTCCTTCTCCTTCATGTATTTTATCTTGCTTCTCCGCCTCTTCCTCCCCTTATTTTCCTCCTCCTCCTCTCTACCTTTTATCTTCTCATCTCCTCCTTCTCCTCCTTCTCGTTCTCTTGCTTTCACATCCTACTCCTCCTCCTCTTTCTCCACTTCTCCTCCTCTTCCCTCCCTCCTCCCTTTCCCCTCTCCTCCCTGCGCCACCTTCCTCCTGCTACTCTTTTCCGCTTCTCCCGCTTTCCTCACCCTCCTCCTGCTACTCTTTTTCCGCTTCTCCTGCTCTTCCCTCTCCCCATTTTCCTGCTCTTCATTTTCCCCTCTTCATCCGCCGGCCGCCTCCTCCTCTCCTCTTCTTTCTCCGCTTCTCCTCTTCCTCCTCCCTCTCCCTTTCCCCTCCTCCGCCGCCACTCCTCTCTTCCTCTCCCTCTCCTCCCTCCTCCTCTTATTCCTCCTCCCTCCTCCCTTTCCCCACCTCCTCCTCCTCCCAATTAAAAGTTGAGCTCGTGTCTGCACAACCTTGCTCTGGCCGTTGCTTGTTGGTGATCAAGACTTCATCAAAATGACCTTTGACCTGAGCGAGCTGCTCAAGGGCATCGGGAAAACATCAGTGATACGAGATGTGCCGCTTCCTTTTTTTGTCTCTTGCTCTATCTTTCTTTCTCTCTGCTTTATCCCTATCTGCCTGTGTGTTCTCTCTCTCTTCTCTCTCTCTCTCTCTCTCTCTATCTCTCTATCTCTCTCTCTCGTCTCTCTCTCTCTCTCTCCTTCTCTCTCTCTCTCTCTCTCTTCTTCTCTCTCTCTCCTCTCTCCTCTCTCGTCTCTTCAATCTCCTCTCTCTCTCTCTCTCTCTCTCTCTCCTCTCTCTCTCTCTCTCTCTCTGGCTCTCTTCTCTCTTCTTCTCTCTCACTCCCTCTCCCCCTGTCTCACTCTCTCTCAGTGTGTGTGTGTGTATGTTTGTGTGTGTATGTTTGTGTGTGTGTGTGTGTGTGTGTGTGTCACGCTCTCTCTGATTTCTACCTAATATTGATATCTAGAATATAAACTTTATGGTATAGCTTCTCCTGCATTACATTTTTATTCTTTTTCTAAGCTCACAAAACAAAACGAACAAGCTGTGGAA